ACACACAAGCATAAAATGCTTGGGTTAAACAGTCAATAAATAGTTTTCATATATTAGGCATAGATAGAAATTATGATTGTGAGAATGAAAAGCAACTACAGGGCTTCTCATATGACTCTACCTACTTCTCCCAGCATTCAGTTTAATCTTCCTGCCTAGCTCTCTTCTGCCCTATCACAGGCCAAAGCAGCTTCTTTATTCATTAACCAATAAAAGCAACACATATACAAAAGGGCCCCCCACACCAGTGTGCTGCCCCCTTTCCGTGATGGTGGATGGGGCTCCTGCAGTGTCCCCTGGGGGTTGCCCGCCTCAGCTTCTGTCCAAACCTGACCACACTTTGGCTCCATGTTGTGATGTGTAGCCAAGGCCTATTTTAGCTCCACCAGGGATACTTTGGTCATCCAGATACCACGGGGATATAAATATCATTTAAAGGGGTCGGTATTTAAAGCTAATTGACCATATTAGGTTAATTCTGTGTGGAGGCCCAAAAATGTGAGCCTATTTCCACCTTGTCTGAAGGTCAGAGAGTTTCAGCTTGTTCACAGTTGTTGAAAACAACGAGGGCTACACACCATGACCTAAGGTATGGCTACTTGGTGTTTTTGGACATTAAGATGCCCCATACAGGTAGATCCTGTCCACCCTGACTAAAGGTCAGAGATTTGGAACTTACTTTTGTTCCTTTAAAGTTATTGTCTGTTTCTATTTTTTTTTTTTAAGACAGGGTTTCTCTGTGGCTTTGGAGCCTGTCCTGGAACTAGCTCTGTAGACCAGGCTGGTCTAGAACTCACAGAGATCCACCTGCCTCTGCCTCCCAAGTGCTGGGATTAAAGACCATCTTGTCTGTTTCTACTTTAAAGGTCCCACCTTGATTTAAATTAGAGAGTTCTGCTCTCTCAAGGTTATTGTCAACAGGTGTGGCTAATATCCAGACCTTGTATTTTCAGGTATAGAGAAGTAGATCTGTATCTGCCTCAAACAAAAGTCTAAGGACCCAACTAAGTTCCTACTCCCTTAGGGAGATAATAGATTCTACCCAGGGAATGGTTTGCCTACAGAATATTTTTGTCTAGGGTGAACGTTCCTTGTCTTGTTCTGGCAACAGAATATTTAACTAGGAATGAATGGTCAGCTCATTCCTTGTATCATGTGGATGCAGGTTTTTTTTTTTTTTAACCTTACTCCTACCTTTTGGGGTCAGGGTATTTAAGCAAATGGAAAATAAATGGGAGTGGTTTTCCATATTCACTGAAACTCCCTCCCAGTACTATCGTATGTTTCTGTTTTATTATTTTCACTCACATCTTCATTCTATTTACTTATTTTTCTAATCCCCACGCCCCTACCCTCGTCAATGGTATCCTTGTCAAAGCTGTCTCCAACAATTCTGATTGGAAAATATTGTCCTATTGAAAAGTTTGGCCTGTTTCTTGAGAAAATGGTGTGTGTTTGTTTTATTGAAAAGTTCTGTCTGTGTTTTCTGGTGTGATCACAAGTTTTATTGCAAGCAGAGAGCTGGAACAAACGGTTCGGACAGATTTGCTGGCAGCAGCCTATGACCACCCACTGCTACTGTGGCTGATTTAGGGTCAGGGCTCAAAATTTCTTTCTGAGCTCAGGTCATTGTATTTGGGTTAGCAGGAGTCCAGATAGCTTTTTGATACAGATAACAATAAAACAGTTTTATGCTGTTTTATTTTATGTTGTTTATTGTTTGACCAACAACAAAGACCAGCCAAAAGCTTTACCTTGCTTCTCTGCCTGCTGATAATTCCTGCTGGTTTGTCAGCACCTGTCTCGGGACCCACGGGCTCACCTCCACATGTTTCCTCTCTGACACACCTCTAGTCTCATAAGTTGCATCCATTCCAGGGAGAGTTTGCGAAGAAGAAAGCAGTCATCGGGGAGAAAAACTTCTTCAGCGTACTCTGAGATCTGCCGTGGACAACAGAGCAAAGCACTGGCCTCCACTCTCAAGTCCCCTCTCCCATCCCAGGCCTGCACGGACACACTGTCCACCAGGCAGGTGGCCTCTTCTGCAGGCCCCTCCCACAGCTCTTGTGCCGCTTCCTCTACCTGCTGAGAAGAAGCTTGGCATTTTCTTGTGAGCAAAAGGGATTCCTCGCCTCTCCCGTTGGCGTCTTCCCAGTTCTGCCTTTCACAGGGTGTGTCTGGTCCACACCATCGTCTTTGTCTAGCTGAGCTGTGAAGATTGGAGTTGCTGAAAGGAGAAGGGGCCAGCACCCAAGGAAGGGACCAGGGAAGGAAGTGCGCCGTGAACTCACAGGAAAGCTGATTGCTACTCACAAGCCACTAGGACTTGTTCCGACTCACTCTGGGGAGAGCTGCAGCAAAGGACTCTCTGCTCCCGAGGAAAACAGCTCCTCAAGCATTTCACCTCCCTCTGGCCCTCCCCAGCCACACTCCTGCTCTGCTCCTCCGACAACTATCCTCTTCTGTCTTCACAGGAGAGAGTGATCCACCAACACAGGACCTTGGCAAAGATCTGACTAGCCTGCAGGATGCAAGCAGACTTTCAACCCCTTTGGAGAGCCACAGTTGCTGTCTACGACCTTTGTTGGAAGAAAAACTCAGTAGGCATTAAACCAGAGTAAAAGCTATTGACTACAAAGCCTTTGGCAGCAGAGAGCTAAAGAGACATAGGAAAAGGAAAAAGTCACCCAAGGTACAAGGCCCAAAAACCTAAAATCCGTCCACATAAGAAAATGTCCCCTGCAGGGACACACGTACCCAGCCAGTGACTCAAGAACTGGCAGGTGCTCTATGTATGCCCTTGTCTGCAGGAGAAATCATTTGGACACAGCGTCTTTGCGAGAGTGCCGGAGTAAGTAAACAGCTCAGAAGAGGAAAGTGTGAGTTGGAGCTGCTATCCCAAAAGTGTCAAGGACCTCAGAGGACACCCAACCCATTCCCTGGGAAGCCACCACCTTCATGACATCCTTATTGTGGGCCAGTCCCAACCGCCTCCAAATCAGAACCACCTGGAGCTAGACTTGTCAGGGTCAGAGCAAACGTGAAGGTAAAGAAGTTTGCCATATCTGAGCGCGGGCTATAACTCAGTGGTAGAGCACTTGCTGAAGGTGCGTGAGGCCCTGGGTTTGATCCTCAGCACCACAAGAAAAGAAAAAGATTGTCACTTCACTATCTGCGTTCGCAGATTTCTCCTTTTTAACACCAAATTTGGTCAAAGCACCTTCAGATTCAGGAAGTCAGATATACTACCAACCATTTTCTCCAAAAGACTTAAACTTGCCCCGCCCAAATCAACAAAAGCTCAGTCTTCTCTGACTTAAGAGACAGACTCTTAAAAAATGAAGAGCTTCTATGAAATTACAACCACCAAAGATGTTTTCTAGAGCCAAGCCCCTGGCAGGGCACACAGACAGCCCACCCTGTGGGTTTAACTCGCCTTTGTATGCTTTGGGAAGGGGATAAACATTTTGATTGGGGCTGTAAGATGGCGAGGTACTCC